CTCGATCGCTCACACTTGAGACATAACAGAATATGGACATTGTCGGCCAGCTCTTTCTCTTACTTATAAATAATTAAATTAAAAGGATTATGTGAAATTATTACCGGATCTGCTTCAAACTTCGCTCCTTCCAATATATCTATCAATATTAGCACTAGTGTGGAAGTGAGAAATATTGGTTTATTCTTTGCGGTAACTCTCCCAACTTCGAACAACATTAAAAAATACATTATATTCCATCTGTTCCCCAACTTCAAAATTCAAAACTTCCAAATCTCATACAAATTTTGAATTAAATTCTTTGGAAGTCTGAAATAGAAGAAATATTTTAATTTGTTTCTGATATGACCTAATCTCCAATAGTGTCATATGTTTAGGACATTTCTCTGTTCATAAACCAATCTAGACTTTCTATCTCGTTTTTTAGGAAAAACATTTTTTTTTTTTTTGATTTCATTAAAAAGAGTCATCACATTTAACCCCCAAACCGGCTACTTCCAATTTTCCAACTAACTTTGTTTCACCACCTTCTTTTCAGCAAATGAATAATTCTTTGCTGTTCCACTTGTTGTTGCGTTTTTGTTTCAGTTACAGTTGGAGTTATGGCTCTTTTGTTATAGATTATGTTGTTGTTGGCCGTTGCTGGTATTTATGCCTTTGGGCCATAAATTAATTCAAAGTTCAAAATGTTGCATTTGACCGTCAAATGTGTTGACACTTGTGGTGTTTTTTTTTTCGTCATTTTTGTTTCGAGTCTCGCCAACATGTTTTGGCAGTTTTGAAAATGCGCTATAATTTTTACCATAAAATTGTTTTCGATTATCGCTTTTTTTATTTGTTTGGTTTGAGATTTTCAAAGAACAAGATCGCTTGATTTCCAAAGTGTTTTTGTTTTTATTTTTATTTATTTATCCATTTTTTTGTTGGTTTAGTTTGATTTTAGCCCATTACTACGTATTCATGTATTGACAGTGTGAGCTTTTGTTTGTTGTACTTGTTGTTGTTATTGTTTGTTTTGTTACTTTTTTTGTCTTCTCTGCTCTCTTTTTTTCGACCATGTGGAGATAGATTTGAAATATTTGTTTTGATAACCTTGAATAATGGTTCGAACTACAACACCAAACAAGATCGCTGTTTAACGGCAATGGTGTTGATGTTGACCGCCAACATTAGCATGGGGTTAACAAGTGCATTTTGGAATTTGGTTTACGATTTTTTTTGTTTGTTTTGTTTTTTGACTTAAAAGACCTGCCACTAGGTCTTGGAGAGAACTAGTTTTAATTTTTATGTTTTTTTTTTTTTTGTTAAAATATTTGAAAATGCAAATAATTACAATAATCCAAAGAATGTTTTTTTTTTTAATGTTTAAGTTGTGCTATGAAACAAATGTCCAACACTTTTATAAGACGCTTATAGCATGATTATGTGGGCCGTGAATTACATTGTAATTGGTATTTAGTGACAACAATGCAGCTGCTGCCAAGTACGTGGGATGAGGTCAAGGAAGTTGTTGGACAAATAAACGAACTCTCCATAAAAAGAACCCAGAATGAGCATTTGATATGGAAGGTCAAAATTAAAAGTGTATTGTTATTTGAAGTATCCATTACAGAGATAAGTCTTATAGAAGAGGGAAAGTATCTATCCTTTCCCTGGGAACTAATTCTCTAGCAGAGAACATTTTTTGAAATTATTTTCAAAAAATTCCTTTAAAAATTATCCAAAACGAACCCTAAGGGAAAATCAGTTAAGATTTCTATGTAGCATCCATATTAAGTCATTCAGAGCTGAATTGGAATCTTTAGCGATTTCCACAAAATTTCACTAGATCTTCCTTCAGGATCAAACCCATTAAGTGGTTTCATATCAATTTCATATCAATTAGAAAAAAAATATGAATTGTTCGTCAATAGCACTAATAGAAAGATAAATAAACTTATAAAAATTGCCAATGAAATGAAAATCGACCTGCTCTTAAAAAATCGACATGCTCTTGGACAAACGGAATGTGCTAGAATTCTGGCATTTGGAATGACAGTCACTGATACAGTGCAGAATAGGTGAACCAAAGGGTTTTTGGAAATTCAAAGTTTATGGAATCCAAAATTTCTAAAATGGTACTAAATATTTAAAATGGTACCATTTGGTATTATATAAACAGATAGAGCTAAAAACTTGAAATTTGATGTGAGAATCAAGATTGGAAAGTGCGTTTGATATACGAAGGTGGTTTTGTAAAGGTGTACTAAGTAGGCGCACTGTACTAAATGGTACTAAATTTGTAACAGTTTGGTTTAAGGTGAAAAGGTGAACCTGAATAATTTTAGAATTTTTTATTTGGGTCCCTCTTAGTGGTAGTTTTTATCATAAAGACGTGTTTCGAAAATGTGTACTTAAAGTGCACGAAAAGTACTAAATAGTACTATATTTGGTACAATTTTGAAATGGGTGACATTTGGTAGCTCTTGCAATTTAGTAATACTTGAAATTTAATATTAGTGTGGGTGGTTACGTATGGAGGTGGTTACGGAAATGTGTACTACAAGTGCACGAAAAGTACTAAAGAGTACTATACTCGGTACAATTTGGTATAGGGTGAAATTTGGTAGTGCTTGTAATCTGAAATTTGGTACTTGGGTAGTTTTTCATGTGTAGCCTGGACATATGGGAATGGCTTTGGTAATTTGTACTATTATTGTTCGAAAAGTACTAAATGGTACTCAATTTGGTATTGGGTTAAGGGATAGGGCTGGAATGCTCAAATTTGATATTGTGGTCTCTTTGGTATCTGGAATTTAAAAAAGGAGGTAATTTTGGAAATATTAGTACGAAAAGTACTAAATAGTACCAAATTTGTTATTATGAGAAAGGATAGGTCTAGCATCCTTAAATTTGATATTGAGGTTTCTGTTTGGGTTAGGGATTTCAAGCTACTACTAAAAATATACGAAAAATACTAAATGGTACCAATTTTTGACCAATTTGGATATGCATACTATATAGTACTAAGTTTAGTATTGGGGGTAGGAATATAGCTGGAATCGAGAACTTTGATATTGAAGTCTATTTTGGTATTTGGAATTGGGATATGGGGGCGGTTTTTGTTAAATGAGTACCAAAATTACCAAATGCTACTATATTTAGTACAATTTGGTATTGGGTGAAATTTGGTATTGCTTGAAATCGGAATTTTGGTGGTAGGGTCTCATATTCATGTGTAGCTTGGACATACGGAGTTGCTTTCGGAACTGTGTCCTATATTTGTTCGAAAAGTACTAAATGGTACCCAATTTGGTATTGGTGAAGGGATAGGTCTGGAATTCTCAAATTGGATACGGATGTCAATTAAGATATGGAACGAGTTAGCAAAGGAGTACTAAAAAATACGAAAGTACAAAATGGTACTATTTTAGGTCACTGTTGGTCTCTAGGATGGGAGAGATGAAATTTGTTATTGAGGTCTCTGTTGGAGTCTAGGATTACCTTGTGGTGGTGGTGTTCGAAATGTGTACTATAATTGTACGAAAAGTACTAAATGGTACTAAGTTTGGTATTGAGTGAAGGGATAAGAGTGGAATCTTTAAATTTGATATTGAGGTCTCTGTTAGTGCCTAGGTTTTGCAATGGCGTACTAAAAATATACCAAAAGTACTAAATCGTACTAACTTTGGATCACTTTTACGGTCTTGGATGGAGATATGTAGATTGTTTTGAATATGCGAACTAAATATTACTCAATTTGGTATCGAATGAAGGGATAAGGCTGAAATCCTGAAATTTGCTATTGAGGTCTCTGTTGGTATCTGGAATTAAGATATGGTGGTGGTTTTGGAAATGTGTTCAAAAATTAATCAATGCTACTACATTTGGTACAATTTGTTATTGGGTGTGCCTAAAATCTGAAATTTGGTATTATGGTCGTTGTTCACGTTTAACCTGAACATATAGAGGTGATTTTGGAAACGTGTTCCATAACTGTAGGAAAAATACAGAATCGTATTATATTTGGTATTGGATAAAATTCTGAAAGTTTATCTATAGATTACTGATGGAATGTGATTTTCAGATTTGGCGGTGGTTTGGAAATATATATATATAATTGTAGGAAAAGTACTAATTGATATTATATTTACTATTGGGTGAAGGGATAATACTGAAATCCACAAATATGATATCGAGGTCTCTTTTGCCATCAGGAATTGAGATATTGAGGTGGGCTTATATTTATTGCGATATATCAGTTTGTATGAAATCAGATATTGCATTGTCTCTCTGTGAGATATTCAAATTTTTATGATTTTTCCTAATTTTTGCGGTTATAAGGGTACCAGGAGGGAAGGTCCCAATTTGTACTCGATCCTAAATATATTACTAAGTTCTGTGTGTTTATGGAGAACGACATTAAATAATATAACCTCTATCTTAATTTCAACACACATACGGAAAGGCAGACGGATACCGTAAAAAAAACTTAAAATTTTATGGAAATCTCAAAAATTTTTATGGGATCGTCGGCGATTATTTCGTGTGGTTGGTCTGAAAATTTGAATTTCAACATAAACATTTTCCCAGCCAAAATGGAGAACTCGTCTTGGCTTCTTTTTTCCCTTCCGAAAGTACTCCCCTTCAAAGGAGAAGGAGTTTCACTTTATTTAAATTTTAAGCAGAAATCGAAAAATATGATATTGGCTTAATTTGTACAAATTTGTACAGATTATTGCGATACCTAATACCTGCTGCCTAAATAAAAGCGCCATAAAATTGTCAATATTCAATTGTCTCTGAACATTCACTTCTCAAAGAATTATATCCAAATTCCTAGAAAATGATTTCTCTCCCATTCAAACATATCTCACATTATTATGGCATAGATAGATAACTGACCCGCCCACTTCTTTCGAAGATTTGTTTATTTATCATGTTCTTATATTTTTTTTTTCTTAAAAACCACTTCCACTAACAATTCTCTTTTTCTCTCCCTCTCTCTCATCTATTTCCAGCATTCACATTCCAGCGACGATATTGGCGAGGTCTATCAAGATGAAGAAAATATGGCTGCAATTTTAATGAGACGTCATGAGATTACCGGCGATTTAGTAATGGTAAGTTAAACAAAAAGAAGAAAAAAACACAAAACAAACATACCTACATATGACAAGTCATTGTTACTACATGGAGTACTTGCATTGTACTTGTGGTTCGAAACAAATTGCAGACCACAAACATAATTATTAGTGTGGAAAAAATGCTAAAGAAAAATTACTTAATTTTTTTTTGTAGCAGAAAAGCATAAAATGTGTGGCAATTTTGCTTTTTTGGTTTGTTTTAACGGATTTTTTTTAAAGAAATTAAGTCATATGCAAGGTGACCTTGAAAGGCTAGCTACAAATACTCTGCAAAAATAAGCCAACTTTTAAAAAATACCAAACATGCCCGAAAACAAAAAAAAATCTGAGGCGTGAGAATTTGGGAAAACGGCAAATGAAAGACAATTGAAGTTGAAACATTTTTTTGGGGCAATTGTTTTTTTTTTAGAATTATATTTTTATAATTTTAAAGGGTTAACAATTTGGCATGAAGAGTTTTTTTTTTTTTTGGTGTTTGAAGTTGTTTTATTACGGCAAATTGGATTAAAGATGGCAACTAAATGAAGTTTTGACTACTTTCCAAACGAATTTTAAAATCAGACATAATTTTAAAATAGTTTAGATTTTGTTGGTTATTTGTTTATGTTTTTATAGCCTCCGCCATACATAGTATGGAGAGTATATATTGAGTTCGTCCTCAAGTTTGTAGCTCACCGAAGTAACAATTTTAGACCTAACAATGTATATATTCTTGATCAGCATAAAATTCTAAGACACCCTGTTCATCCGTCCGCACGTCTGTTGTAATCACGCTCGAGTCAAAACAAATAAAGATAGGAAGCTAAAATTTTACACAGATCTGTCTACAGGCATGTCAAGTTCGAGGATGGGCTATATTGGTCCACGATATCGTATAGCCCCCATATAAAAGTATCGACCGATATTCGGTATTTTGATGACTGTAGCCAAATTTTTCAAATGAAATTGTCTATAATTCTACAGAAGGAGTTTCTGCCAATGCAGGTCCACGTCTTCGTATAGACCCCAATATAAGGGCTATATTCGATATTTTTAAGAATTTAAGAGAATTTTTAACGAATTTTAATTTTTTGAAAATGTCCAAATTCGTTACATATGGTGGAGGATATTCAAAGTTCGGCCCGGCCGAACTAACTGATTTTTTACTTGTTATACCCTCCACCATAGTATGGAGGGTATATTAAGTTTGTCATTCCGTTTGTAACACCTCGAAATCTTTAGATCCCACAAAGAATATATATTCTTAATCAGCATAAAATTCTATGTCGATTTAGCGATGTCCGTCCGTCTATCCGTCTGTGAAAATCACTCTAGCTTCCGAACGAATTGAAGTAGATTGATAAAATGTTACTCAAAGGTATATTATGTCTGCAGGATATTTGTTGTTCGTATTGGGTGCTACAGTCTATGCCAGAAAATTGTCTATGCAAATCCAGGTCTTCGTATAGGCTCCATATATCCGTATCTCCCTATATTCGGTATTTTGACGATTTTAGGTACAATGTTCACAGAAATTGTTTGAAATTTCGCATATGAAGTTCCTAATAGGCACTAAAGCCTGTGGCAGAATATTGTCTATGCAGGTCCAGGTTAGGTAAAATATTCAACGGAATTGTTTGAAATTTCGTATTTGAAGTTCTTAATAGATACTACAGCCTGCGGCAGAAAATTGTCTATGAGGGTGCACGTATTCGTATAGTCCCCATGTATCGGTACCTCTCGATATTTGCTCTTTTGACGATTTTAGTAACAATATTCACCGAAATTGTTTGAAATTTCATATTTGGAGTTCCTAATAGATACTACAGCCTGTGGCAGAAAATTGTCTATGCAGGCCCATGTCTTCCTATAGCCTCCATATAATGGTACCTCCCGATATTCAGTATTTTGATGATTTTAGCGACATCGTTCACCGGTCTTGTTTCGAATTTTGTATTTGAAATTCGTAAAGGGAGCTACAGTCTATGACAGAAAATTGTCTATGCAGGTTCAGGTCTTTGTATAGCCCCATATATCAGTACCTCATAACGGTATCTTCCTATATTCGATATTTTTGTGATTTTAGCTGCATTATTCACCGGGTTATTATTTTTCATATTACATATTTGAATATTGAATATGGCTTCTGACAAAAGTTGCCTACGCTGGTCCAGGTCTTCGTATAGACGGATATATTCGGTATTTTTAGATGTTAACAGAATTTTTAACGGATTTTTTTTTTGTTTTTTTTTTTTTTGAAAATTTCCAAATTTGTTCCAAATGATGGAGTGTATTTAAAGATCGGCCGGGCCGTTTTTCATTCACAGTAAGGAATTTGATATTTAATTTGTTAACCAACTACCCTGATGTATGACCTTATAACTGGGCCACAGCTTCTTCTTTACCCAATATTTTTTGACTTCCAATTGAGCCATATTTGCCTTTCAATCACAATAACACGATCTTTCAGGATCTTAGAACGGATTATAATTTTTATTATTTTTTTTTTTTCTCTTCCAAACCAAGAATTTTATAATCGGGTTTGTTTTAATTGTGTTTATTTGTTTTGTTTTGTTCTTTTTTTTTTTTTTTGAAAATATTATATTTTTTGCATTATTGTTAAAAATGATAATTGCAGCCACCAAACATTTAAGTGCATTTAGATTTAACAGATCGCTTGCATTTATCGTTTTTTTTTTTTTTTTTTTTTTTTGTTCTCCCTCTCTCTTACATTTTTATATTCTTTGTTTTTTACATCTTTTGTTTTTAATTGAGTGGGAAGCGATTTGTAGTTGCTGTTTGTTTTTTTTTTTTTTTCTTAAAGAAATAAATTTCTCGTTTTAATTGTTAATTGTGTGGCTTATGATCCAATTGTTTTTCTGTTTTAACTAAAACGAGGATCACGTTTTTAAGAACAGAACGGCAAATGGAACAGTGGCGTAGTTTGAAGTATGGCATGAAAGATCAGGATTTTACATTGGAAAATAAAAAATCTTCTTGGAATTTCAAAAAGAATCTCAATTTCATTTGTATTTCGAAACATTTTAACCGTTTTTCGAGAATTCCATTCATAAAATTGAATTTTTTTCATTTGTAATTCATTGATAATTCCATTGTTTATTACAATTCTTAACATTTCAATTGCAATTCGAAATTTCAGTTACTATATTCGTAAATCAAATCTTTCCAGTTAAAATTTAAAATCGAATTATTCCATTTGAAATTCGAAACATAAAGATAACAGCATTTTTTTAAATTTTTTTCTTTCGAATTCAAAATAAATCGTATTACGAATAGATTGATTATTTTTCATTTCTTTATTCTTTCAACTTTTAAATGTAACGAAATTTTAGAATTACAGTCGAAATGCTACGAATTACAAATGGAGTTTTTCAATTACAACTAAGTTACGAATTATATGCTTGGATTACAATTGAAATTTTACTATATCCGGCTGTATGTGGAAGTCATCAATTTTGTTCAGATGTGTTTCAAGTCTGCAGTTTTTGGAGTTTCATAATGGGTTTTCAAATACGTTTTCGTATAGCCCCAATTTTGGAGAAGTCTTTTCCTGTATTCAACATTAATTAAATACGAGCAAATACCCACCACTTCCTTAGTGAAAAGTTCACTTAAAATATTAGATTCGTCCAAATAGTCCGTATTAAGCCTTTTAAGTACCCAAACTGCGCAATAAAACTTTATACATCGTACCAAATTTTCAGAGACTAAGACCTCTATAGCAGATTTGGGGATTCCAGCTCTATTTCTTCACCCAATACCAAATTTAGTACGATTTAGTAGTTTTCGTACAAAAATAAGAGGCATTTCAAAAACCACCTCCATATCCTAACCAAAGATATCAAAAGTGACTTTAATATAAATTTCAGGACTTCAGCTCAATTCCTTTACCAAATTGAGTACAGTTTATACTTATCGTATAGTTTTAGTACTAATTTCTAAGACTACCTCCACATTTCAAGCCTAGATACAAAGAAATACCAAAAATCAGATTTTATGATTCTATCTTCATCCCTTAACCCAATACCAAATTTAGCACCAATTAGTACTTTTCGTACACATATAAGAAGCATTTCCAAACCACGGCCAAACGTAGATACCATTAGAAATGTTTTTTTTTTTTTTTGTTTAATTTTATTTCTATCCCACACCCAATACCAAATATAGTACTTTTCGTACAAACATAGTACACATTTCCGAAGGCACCTCCATGTGTCTAGGCTCAGACTTGAATAGCGACCCTAATACCAAATTTCAGATTTCAAGCATTATATGTTTACCCAATATCAATTTGTACCAATTATAGTACTATTTTCTACATTTGCGTGCACTTGTAGTACACATTCCCATACCCATTTATTTATCCCAAACCTACCACCAACAGGCATCCCTATACAAATTTTCAAAATTCCAGCTTCATCCGTTCACCCTTAAACAAATTGTATAAAATTCAGTACCGTTTTGTACACTTAAGTACAATATTTTATAGCTACATACTTTATACAGTCCAATGGAAACTTATTTTCAAAATTTAAATTGTACTAAATTTAGTACCATTTAGTACACATAAATACGAATTTCCAAAACTGCCTACATAACTCAGTCCTATAATGCAATATTAATTTTATTTCTAAATTTTTAAATTTCAGTATTCTAACTCAATTGGTTCTGCCAAAATCAAAATTGTGCTAAGTTTAGTACCATGTGGAACAAATAAGTACGAATTCCCAAAGCTACATACATTGCTCATTCCGAGAATGCAATAGTAATTTGTTATCCCAATTTCAATTTTTCAGCTCTGTCGCACCCAAATCGAAATTGTACTAAATTTAGTACCATTTGGTACTTTTCGTGCATATAACTAGACATTTCGAAAACTTTCTCCGTACCCCATTGCTACACTCCGCCAATAATTTTAATTTCAAAATTCAGGTTTCGAACTCCACCCGTTCCAAAATATTCAATTTATACTAAAT